TGATGGAAGCAGCACAGCTGATGTTTCTTTCCAGGATGGCGTCACAGCTAAACAGGAAAAAACGAGGCAAAGCTACTCTGAGGAAAAGCAGAGAGAGCAGAACGTTAGAGATTGAACTAACAGATTCTGCAGAGTAGGAGAACAGAGAGAGAATGAAGCAGAATGATGAAACACATAAATACTGATCAATTATTGGTTTATCCAGATAGATGAGCTGGTAAAGACATATAAAGATTATATACAGTTTAATTTAGCGGTCTAGCCACAAAGTAAAAAATGTAACACAATGAGGGTCGTTTTCATACCTGTAGTTTGTTTTGTTTAGTCCAGATGAGCTGATGAGTTTCACTTGTTAATTTTTCCTGTGGCTATTCCTTCTAAACAGGGAAATCTCCAAGAAACCAGAAGCTGTCACTAAAAACCCACTAGAACTTTACTGGAGGGTTTGTGTGTAAATACGTGAAGCAGGTGGATACTTTCTGAGCTAGTAGAAAACAGAGACATCATTCATATGGCTCCTGGGTTTCAGGCTTCTGTTTTAGGTGAAATTTATGTCAGTGGTAGATATATATCTAATTTGAGTGTTTTTAGGAGTATTTTTTATACTTCCCTAAATGGACCTCATTGTTTGTCCACCTGAGCCCTCTAGTCATTTTGACTATATGGAACACATATATGGGAAATGTTTGCAGTGTTCACCAGGTAGTTGTTTCTAATTAAGACCAAATCAGGAGGTCTGGGTACAGTTCTTCTGGTCAAAAGTTGTACACTGCTCAAAAAAAATTAAAGGAACATTTTGAAAACACATCAGATCTCAATGGGGGAAAAATCATGCTGTTTATCTATACTAATATGAACTGAGTGATGTGTTAGGAACAAAGGATCCCACATCATTTGATAGAAATTAACCTAGGTGTTAATCTGATCAACCTACAGAGGGCTGATTTCAAAGACACCCCAAAAATTACAGTGAAAAAATTTATGCTTCAGGCTAGTCCATTTTGCTTAAATTTCATAACAGCAACTCAAAATGGTTTTCAGTAATATGTATGGCCCCCACGTGCATGTATGCATGCATGACAACGACGGGAGATGCTCCTAATGAGACAACGGATGGTGTCCTGGGGTATCTCCTCCCAGATTTGGACCAGGGCATCACTGAGCTCCTGGACAGTCTGAGGTGCAACCTGGTGGCGTCAGATGGATCAAAACATAATGTCCCAGAGGTGTTCTATTGGATTTAGGTCAGGCGAGCGAAGGGGGCCAATCAATGGTATCAATTCCTTCATCCTGCAAGAACTGCCTGCATACTCTCACCACATGAGGCCTGGCATTGTCGTGCACCAGGAGGAACCCAGGACCCACTGCACCAGCATAGGGTCTGACAATGGGTGCAAGGATTTCAGCCTGATACCTAGTGGCAGTCAGGGTGCTGTTGTCTAGCCTGTATAGGTCTGTGCGTCCCTCCATGGATATGCCTCCCCAGACCATCACTGACCCACCACCAAACCGGTCATGCTGAACGATGTTACAGGCAGCATAACGTTCTCCACTGCTTCTCCAGACCCTTTAACGTCTGTCACATGTGCTCAGGGTGAACCTGCTCTCATCTGCGAAGAGCACAGGGCGTCAGTGGCGGACTTGCCAATTCCGGTGTTCTGTGACAAATGCCAATCGAGCTCCACGGTGCCGGGCATTGAGCACAGGGCCCACTAGAGGACGTCGGGCCCTCAGGCCACCCTCGTGAAGT